ATAAATAATTTTTTTCAAAGTGTTAAAATCTGGAAAAGAAAAGAATATGATAAGAGAATTGATAATGATGGGATGATATCTGAAGCAACATTTTTACATGATATAGTTGATAAGATTGTATCAACTTGCATCCATCTTAAACAAGCACTCTAATTAACATCTTGGTAAGCATTCTTTAACATGATTTTTTTGGCCTGTAAATAAGCATTATTATCTAAAAATGTTTATTTAATATTAATATTTAGGGAAGACAAAGCAGAAGAGGGAAACATAAACTATGAACAGTGTCGTAATTATGATTTGTGGTTGAACTCAAATGAATACATTAAGTATGAAGTGAAAAATAGTAGTGGCTGTGTACCTGACCTTGAAGCAACAATAAAAATGGAGTCTGGTGAAATATGAATTTTTGTATTGTGAAGTAAGTGATCCACCATACAAACCAATTTCTACCAAAACAGAAAGTGATCAGAGGAAATTAATAAGATATATGAAAAGAAATAAAGATTCACAAATAAGAAAATTTTTAAAGAACTTTGGAAGAGTTGTGGACAAAACCATAATAAATACTCTTAACTGTCTTGATATTTTTTCCATTCTTGTTCATGGTATTTATAAGATTTGTTAATAATTTCCTTTTATTTAATTCATATTTATTCATTTATATTATTTGTTATTTAATAGGTACTTTGTTCAAGACCTTTTTATCATGTGTGCGCAGCAGCTTGTTCGAAGTAAAAATACCAGTTGAATCTTATTCCACAATAGCAGAAAGAGCAAATTTTTTTTTGTTTTGCACAGTAAAAGTTGTACTATATATCTTAAAAGAATTTAACTTGATAAAAAATGGATTAGAGGCTAATTGTGATGTTTTCAAACCATAAAAGGATCAAAGCAGCCCAAGACACTAGTAATGATGATATTATATATCCATCACCAACAAAGAAGAAAAGAACCACAAAGGACACTAAAAATTAGTGGATAGATGTATCTTCTTGACTCAACAAATTATTAATTACCTTTGGTTAAAAAATAAATTTACAAGTTGATAAAATTCATATATAGAACTATACATGTATATATATATGGTATGAGAAATATAATTATATACCAATTATATTTGTTTGCCACAATTACCTCTCTTAATGAATAATTGTATAGAAAATATATATATACAAAAAAATAATAATTTCTATTCAAAAAAAAAATAATAAAACTTGATTCAATAAATTATCATCTACAGTAT